ACTTACAGTAAAAATATGAATTACTAGCGACCCTCCCAACAGGGGTAAAATGCCCTTAGGATAATAAAATAATTAGTTTTCCAAAGAAGAAAATAAATTATCAATTTTAAATGTGATTATTAAATTTTTTATTAGTGTTATATACTTAAAGTAAAAATATGAATTACTTGCGACCCTCCCAACAGGGGTAAAATGCCCTTAGGATAATAAAATAATTAGTTTTCCAAAGAAGAAAATAAATTATCAATTTTAAATGTAATCTAAAAAACTTCTATTAGTGTTATATACTTACAGTAAAAATATGAATTACTAGCGACCCTCCCTATAGGGGTAAAATGCCCTTAGGATAATAAAATAATTAGTTTTCCAAAGAAGAAAATAAATTATCAATTTTAAATGTGATCTAAAAAACTTCTATTAGTGTTATATACTTACAGTAAAAATATGAATTACTAGAGATTCTCCCAACAGGGGTAAAATGCCCTTAGGATAATAAAATAATTAGTTTTCCAAAGAAGAAAATAAATTATCAATTTTAAATGTGATCTAAAAAACTTCTATAAGTGTTATATACTTACAGTAAAAATATGAATTACTAGCGATTCTCCCAACAGGGGTAAAATGCCCTAAAGATAATAAAATAATTAGTTTTCCAAAGAAGAAAATAAATTATCAATTTTAAATGTAATCTAAAAAACTTCTATTGGTCTTAAGATAATAAAATAATTAGTTTTCCAAAGAAGAAAATAAATTATCAATTTTAAATGTAATCTAAAAAACTTCTATTGGTCTTATATACTTACAGTAAAAATGTAAATTACTAGCGACCCCCTCAACAGGGGTAAAATGCCCTTAGGATAATAAAATAATTAGTTTTCCAAAGAAGAAAATAAATTATCAATTTTACATATAATCTAAAAAAATTCTATTAGTATTATATACTTACAGTAAAAATATGAATTACTAGCGACCCTCCCAACAGGGGTAAAATGCCCTTAGGATAATAAAATAATTAGTTTTCCAAAGAAGAAAATAAATTATCAATTTTAAATGTGATTATTAAATTTTTTATTAGTGTTATATACTTAAAGTAAAAATATGAATTACTTGCGACCCTCCCAACAGGGGTAAAATGCCCTTAGGATAATAAAATAATTAGTTTTCCAAAGAAGAAAATAAATTATCAATTTTAAATGTAATTTAAAAAACTTCTATTGGTCTTATATACTTACAGTAAAAATATGAATTACTAGCGACCCTCCCAACAGGGGTAAAATGCCCTTAGGATAATAAAATAATTAGTTTTCCAAAGAAGAAAATAAATTATCAATTTAAAATGTGATCTAAAAAACTTCTATTAGTGTTATATACTTACAGTAAAAATATGAATTACTAGCGACCCTCCCTACAGGGGTAAAATGCCCTTAGGATAATAAAATAATTAGTTTTCCAAAGAAGAAAATAAATTATCAATTTTAAATGTAATCTAAAAAACTTCTATTGGTCTTATATACTTACAGTAAAAATATGAATTACTAGCGACCCCCTCAACAGGGGTAAAATGCCCTTAGGATAATAAAATAATTAGTTTTCCAAAGAAGAAAATAAATTATCAATTTTACATATAATCTAAAAAACTTCTATTAGTATTATATACTTACAGTAAAAATATGAATTACTAGCGACCCTCCCAACAGGGGTAAAATGCCCTTAGGATAATAAAATAATTAGTTTTCCAAAGAAGAAAATAAATTATTAATTTTAAATGTAATCTAGAAAACTTCTGTTAGTCTTATATACTTACAGTAAAAATATGAATTACTAGGGCATTTTACCCCTGTAGGGAGGGTCGCTAGTAATTCATATTTTTACTGTAAGTATGTAATACTAATAGAAGTTTTTTAGATCACATTTAAAATTGATAATTTATTTTCTTCTTTGGAAAACTAATTATTTTATTATCCTAAGGGCATTTTACCCCTGTTAGGAGGGTCGCTAGTAATTCATATTTTTACTGTAAGTATATAACAGTAATATAAGTTTTTAAAATCACATTTAAAATTGATAAATTATTTTCTTCTTTGGAAAACTAATTATTTTATTATCCTAAGGGCATTTTACCCCTGTTGGGAGGGTCGCTAGTAATTTATATTTTTACTGTAAGTATGTAACACTGATAGAAGTTTTTTAGATCACATTTAAAATTGATAATTTATTTTCTTCATTGGAAAACTAATTATTTTATTATCCTAAGGGCATTTTACCCCTGTTAGGAGGGTCGCTAGTAATTCATGTTTTTACTGTAAGTATATCACAGTAATATAAGTTTTTAAGATCACATTTAAAATTGATAATTTATTTTCTTCTTTGGAAAACTAATTATTTTATTATCCTAAGGGCATTTTATCCCTGTTGGGAGGGTCGCTAGTAATTTATATTTTTACTGTAAGTTTGTAACACTAATAGAAGTTTTTTAGATCACATTTAAAATTGATAATTTATTTTCTTCTTTGGAAAACTAATTATTTTATTATCCTAAGGGCAGTTTATCCCTGTTGGGAGGGTCGCTAGTAATTCATATTTTTACTGTAAGTATATAACACTAATAAAAGTTTTTAAGATTACATTTAAAATTGATAATTTATTTTCTTCTTTGGAAAACTACTTATTTTATTATCCTAATGGTATTTTACCCTTATTGCGAGGGTCGCTAGTAATTTATATTTTATCTGTAAGTATATAACCCTAATAGAAGTTTTTTAGATCGCATTTGAAATTGATAATTTATTTCCTTCTTTGGTCAACTAATTTTTTTATTAACCTAAGGGCATTTTACCCCGGTTGGGAGGGGCTACAGTAATTCATATTTTTATTATAATGTATTTTAACTAATAAAAACACAGTTTAAAGTGATAACTTATTTGTTTCTCTGACAAAATAAATATTTTATTATTACGGGGTAGTTTATCCTTGTGGGAATTTTTTATTATATCTATCATATTTTTTGTTTGAGTTAATACTACCATTATTAATATTGTAAAATACCTTTTGATGTGACTTATTACCTTGTCGGGTAAAATAATAATATTTTTAAAGTATTCTATTGTCCTTTTAATTTTAATTAATATTGATGTGACAATTAAAAGAACATCCTATTATCAAATTTCGGTAGAAATTTAAATTGTTTGTGTCCTATTTCTCACCTAATAATTAATTGCCTCTATTTAAACGACGCTACTGATCATTCGGTAATATTCGGAATTTTGGCTGCTAGAAATTGGCTGCTAAGTTCACACCGGTACACGTTATAATCTTAGGACCACTTAAGGTACCGTTAATATTCACTTTGTTATGAAGATAGCTCTTCATTAAATTGTAGACTACGCCCCTGAAATCTATTTTTTATTATTGTTTCTAAAAGTTGTTGATGGTTAACAGTATCGAATGTTTTGCGAGATCAACAAAGATGCAAAGTGATGGTTGTTTTTGGTGTATTCAATTATTGATATTGATTATTTTTGTTTATTTCGCAATAGCATCTGAAGTTGAGGTGTTTTCCCGAAATCCATATTGTTTGTTATTATATAGCACATAATACAACATTTTTAAGCGCCTTGAAGTTGATTTATATTTTTAATATATTTTTTTTATCAGAAACCAAAATACAATTTAACAATTCGCCATTTTTAGTAATAAGATTATGCTAATATTACTAATTACTATTCAGAGGATTTAGGAAGTTCTTTTAAGACATAATTATTTAATAAAATATTGTTGCAATAAAAAAACTATTATATAATAATTAAGTTGTATTAGTCATTCCAACAAAACAAGTTTATTGTATATAGTTTTAAATAGCTGCACTATATAACTCAAACATTACTTTACTAAATCGTATTCATTTTAAATGTTTTAAATTTGTTATAATTCGAATCGTTTCTACAGCTTTATAGGGCAAGCATAATTTATAATATTGCTAAACTAAGCACCGTCTGTATTAAAAGTCGTATATAAATAATCAAACACAATAGATACCACTTCTTTTTTATAGTTATTAACTTATTTATATATAACATTTACCAACGGTTTGGGAAGTAGTTGAAAAAACGTGAATATGGTGTAGCTACTTTCAAAACCTTTCAAATGTAGTTGATTTTTTATAGATATACATTTAAAAGAAAAAATAAAATGTTTTATTTACAATTGCTCTATATGGTTTTTTATTATGCAGACATTTTTCGACACAACATTACAGTTATTTTAAAATTTTATATAATTTATATAATTATGTTTTAAAACTTTAGACAGTTGTACTTGTATTACCAAAGAGTTGTAAAAGTGATTCAAAGCAACAATATAAAATCACAGTAGAACATTTTAATTTTATTAGCTAAAATGTTGTATAAAATAGTTATATAAATGTTTATGTAGCAATTTTATAGTTATTGTGAAAACTATTTTATAATTTTATAATTTTGCTGTAAGAACGTACTATAAATGAATTTATATGAACATTTATTTTTGTTAAACAAAATAGTGATTTCTGCAATTTTATTAAAAAAAAACAGCAATATAATATTTATAAAATATAATATTCTCGTAAACTAAAAATTATAAAACTGTATCAACAAAATTTATGGTATACAATTATTTTGTGACTGTAACTTCTGTAGTGATCTATTAATATCTAAAATTTATTTTCGAGATATATTTGACGGAAGATTTCTTATTGGGATACCATATATCTTAGTAAAAACATAATTAGTAATTCATTTAAAGAGCTGTGAAAATAGCAAAAAAAATAATGGGACAACCGGTAAATAATTTTTTAAGCTATGTACCATCGACGTCCAATAGATTCCTAGATTATTTCAAATATAAAAAGAATGAACCTAAACTGACAACAAATAAAAAATTCATAATAATATAACTCGAAAGAAAAAAATCGAACCTATTTTTAGTTAAAATATAAATACCTTCTAAAAAAAATTAGTACTTACCAATCTCATGTTATATCCTACAATTTTTAACAAAAACCAAAAACAATAACGATTCTTTTAGGTACCATTATTTGGTTTATATAATGGCCCCTCTCTAGTTCTTCCTATTACATCTTCTCATTTCAGGCACACCCCAGCCCATCGCAAAACGCTCATGGTCATTCGAATAATTTTTTAAACTAGATTCATTAGTTTAGTAACATACAGGGTTATTTATCTGTATGTATATTTGTAATGAAATTATTTTTGTATAATTTTTCGAATTCTAAACCATAATATTTTTACTAAAACAATTGCGAAATCCATTTTGATACAATTGCATAAATTTTAAGGGAGGCTTCACTAATAAAAGAAGTGTGGATATTCGTTATTATACCAGATGATTTAGTTAATTTGTCTTTAAAATCTAATTCCATAAATAATTAAAGACCAAGTTCTATTTTCAAATAAAATATTAAAATTAACCCCTTTGCCAGTAAATACCCCAAGCAGAAGATTGTGACTGAAGAATAGCTTTATTATTAGTTATGTGTCACTGCAAATAAAATGAACGTTCCTTTACTTCTTGTGTGATATGAAGGACCTTTCGTTTTCATTTCTACCTTTGTCTCAATCTTTGATATTAGTTTCTTCTTGGGTAGTTTTTTAGTTGCATGCGAAGCTTCATTCACTTCTATTTGAGGCCGTCAGAAGCAGAATGGCCTAAACCCAAAAAGATAGTTTTGAGATAAATTGAAAAGAAAATTTGTATAATTTTTATGTGTATTTTGTTCTGAAATCTGTCCAGTGTAGAGTATTGTTATTGATTAAAATATTAATAACATAAATACTTATTATCTCCATGAATTTTTTTTTGAAATTGGCTTGTAATTAAGAAAAAAAATGTGGGATAGGCCGTTTTGTCTTCGAGAAATTTTTACCAAAAATTTTAGGCCAAGTTTAAAATAAGGTAATAATTGCAAAAAGTAGCACCCAAAATATTTTATTGGTCCCAAAAACAACTAATGTAACAAAATAAAGTTTACTTTACTGGCCCAGATTCTCCTCGTTTTCATCATCCAAAATAATGAAGTCTTCCGATGGATTTTCTGTTGTTTTCAAACCTTCATAAAAATTATGAAAAATCGGGGGAATGTAGTTGCATAGCTCTAGCAGATCTTTTTTCTTTTTTGCATCTATTTGGTGACTATTTGGATACAATAACTCCAAGGGTCTATTCAATTGTGCAGGTTTTCGTTTTGCTATATCCACAACCATGAAGTGCACCAGCTCATTATTGGAGTATTTAAAGTATATTTTAAAAGGGTGCTCTATCTTAAACTGCAGCCACTGCATTTTAAGCCACTCAACTTTTTCATGTTCTGTTGTCCAATGTCTATTAGTAATTTGGGTTTTTAATGTGTTTGTAGAAAAAAAGTCATTACTGGTCATAGCCACAATATTAAATGGCTTTTTTTTTCTGGCATCTTTAATTACAGCAGTCCAGTCTTGAGGAAGGAATATGTTTTTGTGAAGCTTTTTCTTTTTTTCGATTAAACCAAAGTCTTGGTCGCAAGGCAGAAAAGTGTGGCCACTTACCAAAAACTTATGATCGATTTGATTGACTGTAAAGCCTGGAGAACTTACAATGTAGTTACAGATAAGCGCGAGTTTTATATTGCGGTTTTGTCCTCCACATTGGTCAGAATACATAATTAATTTTTTTGACCTCACGTAATGTTCGACATAGTGCAAAAGACATGATCCAATTTCATCTGGACCTCTGGAAGCGATGGATTCATCCCACAAATACATGTGGACTTCATCTGTTGCCAAGTTATGTATTCCTAAACAGTATGTCCATAGTTGCCTCTTATAGTAAGCGACTCCTGTGGACAACAGTGGAGTTGGCAAAGTTTTCATTAAATCGAAAGCTATAATAGTAATATTTTTATCAGCTTTTGCTAATTCCGCATCTGCTGTCATTCCATCTCTTGCACTATCTGCTTTCCGAAGATGTAACTCATGTTCAGTTTGCTTCTCTTGTTTATCAATCTCATTGTCCATGGCATCAATTTTAATTTTAAATGAATCACATTTTTTACAGGAATCTGTAATTGGAGCATGAAAACAAAGATTAAATTCTTGATTGAAAACATTTGAAAAAACATACTGTGATACAGCTTCAACAACTTCATTTTTGTACATGTTATAAATTTTTCCCAAACTAAGATCTGGAGCTAAATATTTTCTGTTTGGATTTTTTTTCCTTGAATAATGTGATTGATATGCAGGAAATTTATTGATAAAATCCTTAACTTCAGCGATTTTCAACTCACTGGTTTTATTTGGTGGTGCATGTTTACCACGTTTATCACTTGGAGGTGGTAGGCCAGAAACTTTGGTTTTTAAAATTCTAGTGAGTCTACCATCAGAAATTTTAAAAACTTTTTTGAAGAAATCTTTACATACCTTCACTTTGCCTCCATTTTCACATGTTAAATGGTATAATCTTGTGTTTGATCTCCTAGATGGATTGTTGTCCTTTTTGTAGCTTCTCTGCTTTGTTGCAACATCTATTAAACCATATACGTATGCTGTTTGTAAGTTATAACTTTCAAAGTTATAGAAATGTTCAAATAAAGTTCGCTGGCGGTCAGCATTTATTTTATCGCTGCATTTGTCGGAACATGAACAAACTATTTCTTGATAGGTTTTAGGCTGAACTAATCTGCCCGTGGAATTCACATATTCTTCTCCTTTTAAACGTTTCGATTTCGCTTCTTTTCTCTTCCAATGAGTCTCATGCCGTAGACGTTTTTTTGGTTTAACAGGATTATTTTCCTCGACATCTGTATTTTCATCTTCATCCGCTGAAAATAAATAGTAGTATACATGAAAAGAACCAAAAAATTAAGGTTTATTATACACTACCGCTGTCTACTGCCTCCTGAGTTGTAGATTCATCTCCACTAATATTCTCAGCTTCCGAAAGATCACTAGGTATGTATTCAGAGCCTGAATCTTCGTAGGGTTCGTCAATATCTAAAAAAATAACCTTTTTTTCCACCATCACATACAAATAGAAAAACAAATTTAAACATTAAATAAATATCTTACCAGTATTATTGGCCGAACTATCCATATTAATTTTTTTGTTACTAAAAATAGTTTAACGATCTTTTAGATAAACACACCCAAATAGAACGACTCACTTTTTGCAACTGTTTACGATTTGTTTATGGTGCCTGTGGGTTAGGCCGATTTACCCTTACAGTAATAAATAATATTCACGAAGCCAAAACGTAACCTATGGCGGCATCTATGAAATAGTAGCGAAATGCGGCTTAGGCTGTTCTGCAGTCGAAAGTTATGAACGAAAGGAGAAGTTTACAAAAATGATCTGAAAATTGCAAAATTGTGGCTTAGGCCATTCTGCTTCTGAGAGCCTCATTTCAAGTCTTCTTTCTCCATTTCTTGAAAAAAACAAAGCCAAATAATTGATTTATTTGAAAAAAATACAATTGCCATAGTTATTTTATTAACTATCTCAAAAAATAAATCAATTACCATAAGTAAAAGTATGTTTCTAAACCCGTATTTCTGTCAAAAGTCTCCTAAAATGAAGTTTTTTAATAACCCCAATAAACAGTTTACTTAACTTAAACACCACTTTGCCTACGACAAATGAATAATGTTTCTGAAACTGCTTTAATAACCACAGAATCACATATATTTACCATTAGTTAACTCTTACTTATGGTTAAAAAATATTTACTTACAGCTAGCGATCGCTTCAAGTTCCGATTACCACCGAAACAGCAACGAACTAAGAGTCGATTAATCCGATTTAATTTTTGTTTTGTCTTTCCTACCGGACGGCCACAGCTCATAGGGAAGCTTAAGTCGAGGTCATACACCTTTTCCATGGAATGCTATGTAACATACAGGGATTTGCGATAAGTGTACGTATAAATCAAAGTATTACATATTTGTTCATGAGTGTATTAAAAACTGTGCCATTTTAAATATAATAATAAATCTATGTCTATGCACCTCTTTACGAGTGAATTTTAACCCCAGAAACAGAGTTTGTGCAGGACATTGTTATTATTATGTAAGTACTTTATATATTTTTTGATACATCAATCGTGTATTTTTGACTGTGATATTTTTTTAATCTCTATAGGGACAATATCCCTATTCATATTTTTGTAAAAGTTGATATTATTTTAAAACATCTGAGTACTCAAATTTTTATAAATGTCATTCGTACTTATACACTATTAAGGTAACAATAAGGTTTATAAAATCTAATACTTTCTACCTATAGTAAGAAACTAATGTATACTAACCACAAGTAAATAGTTCACTAACTGTAGGTCGTCTAAAAACTAATTGAACTGTTTACTAACCACAGGTGACTAATTTCAGAAATCTTGTTTTACTTACTATAATTAAACATTTGGTCTAGGACGTTTCGACGCGGCCATTTCGACGCAGCCGTTTCGACGCGGCCGTTTTGACGCGAGGAAATTTTGACGCCGGCCGTTTCGACGCCGGGCCGTTTCGACGCCAACTGTATTTTTTTTTAAGTAGGTAATAATTCATACAAAATAATATATTTGAAATGTCTTTTTTTAATTTTATTATTAAGAATGCATAATATAATTATGTGATATTGCTTCTAAATATTCGTTTATATTTCTATTTTTATAATCAATAACGATTTTTAAAATCCTCTTGTCACAATCGCGAGGTTTTTTTTTTAATTTAGCTGGCGTCTGCTGGCCCCACAGCAATTGTTCATTAAACAAGTCCCTTCCTGTTTGCATCTTTTTAAGCAGATCAATAAATTTCCATATCATTGAATATTGAATGATCCATGGACATTTCGTTTTGAAGTCGTCTGTGTGCAGCTTCGGTGTGGTTATTCGTGCTGTATGTACCTTCCAAAACGCGGTTGTAGACAGACCACAATGTGATCGGAAAGAGTGGATTGCGCCTTCTTCGGCCCTGTCGATGAGGACGTACTACGTATGAGTCCTGGAACCATTCTATTCATTAGACAATCCGCTAGACAATTTTC